CGTGTAGGTGTTACAGTAGTGTTGGACGTGTAGGTTTTTCAGTGGAGTTGAATCAGGTATGTTTTCAATGGAGATTCCACATGGATTTCGATTTTTGTTTTGAATTTTATATAAGGATTCCGATTTCATATTAGTTTTTCGAGTGTATTTTTGCATTAGGTTTTTGTTTTCAATTTTGATCAATTTAAAAGAAAGGCTATCTCTGTGAAGCTGTTTATGATTTTTGGAGTTGATTTTTCATTCTCTGTTATTGATCAATTTTAGAGAGAGGCCAACTTGATAGAGTTGATTTTGATTTTTAGAGCTCATTTTTCCTTCTCTCTTTTTTGATCAATTTCAAAGAGAGTTAACAGTGGATTGATTTTGATTTTTTAAGTTCATTTTTCATGCTCTGTTTTTCATCAACATGCTTATCAATGATAAGTTTTGTTCTCTATTTTTTCAAACCAGAGAAATTTCTTTAAACTAGAGATAAGTGTAAATTTCTTATCATTTTTTGTTCTCTATTCTCTGTTTTTTCTGCACTTTTGTTGATATAGTCCAGAGAAAATTGTAAGTTTGTTATTATAATCCAACGAAAATCATAGAGAAAATTATAAGTTCATATATGTAACGCCCCGAAATAACTCAACATTAACTAACGTTCACTAAACAATGACAATATTCCTTCCATCTTTTACGTAGTTAATAAACGAGTTTATACAAAAGTTTCACATGCAGATTATACATTCATTGGTAAGAAAAACACATGAATCTATAGCATGTGAAGCATATAGTTCTCAAAACAAATAAATGCCCTTATGGGCTACAACTTCCAAGGTTTAAGTCCAGTTACACAAAAGTGGCCTCCCGGACCCATACAAAAATAGCCCTTGGCTAGCAATTAAATCACAACAAAATAGAGCTATGTACTCTTCACAATTGTCCACGCCCTCAACTTGGCGGGATCACCACGCCTTTTCCTGCACCAAAATCCCATAGGGGTGAGCATAAAGCCCAGTAGAGAAATCCCTAACAAAGTATATACATTTATGTAAGATATCTAATATTAAATGCAAGTGCAAATGCCATGCAATGCCCTTTTCAAAATAGTCTCATGTCATGCCTTTCTTAAAAATCACCATGTTTCTATAACATTTTTGCACTCTTATCAATTCCAATTTTTCCAATTTTAACCATAAGGGGCGGTAAATACGACACAGATGATCTTAGGTTGGTGTCTGCAAGTAGGCTCAACAAGTACTACCAATAACCCCACTTTCCCGGTTGCTAACCGGAAGGGAAGTGGTACATCCTCCGTGCGTGTTTTCAGTCTTTCACCCCGGACCATCAAGCCAACTCATCATTTCGTCTACACCCCCTAACCGGACTCACCAACGTATTTACCCCATACACATTATCGTTGTTTTCATTAGCATATATGTATGTATATATATTCCTTTCTTAAATGTAAATGTTTCCAATCTAGATACACAATGCATAATAATTAGTTGAAAGAAGGTGAAATGCAATGATAATCCATGCCTCGTAGCATTTCTTCAATTCCAAGCTATTCTAACAACATTACCATAACAATTACATTCCTCATTTTCCATTCTCCATGTTATTTCATAAAATGGTACAAAGTTGTTATCATGGATCTTTATACAACAATAAACCTACAATTCATATACTTTCACATTTTAAATATTTCCAAAGCTAGAGCAAATGTTTGAACAATAATTTCCTTTCACAACAATACTCATATATCATGGAACACAACAATGTACAATTTATAATCACGTGTGTATATGTAGGTGTAGACCCGACTTTCTTCGCGCGCCCCCCCTTTCGGAGAAGGCACGAATTGGTCTTACTACAGTTCAAACTCCTGTCACAGTTCTGAATCTAATCTCACAAAGTGCAATGTGAGACTGATAAACACCTAAGAGTCCAAATCTGGCAAATTGTTTTGAAAAATCAATTTTGAATAAAAAGCGCCAAACATGGACTACTTTGCCAGATTACAGAGTCGCCACCTAAATATTTTATTTTTGGAAAATTTAGGAAACCCTGACTCGTACCTAAGGCCACGTGTCCATCATCACCAAAGTTACCTTGGCTCAGGAACTTGGGTACGAGAGGGGGAGGTCCTGAAATGAGCACCCCCGCTCGCCCGATCAAAGCATCGACCTTTACTAAGCATGATATGTTGTTTTATAAACCACGTGTTCTTATTCCGGTTATTTAGCTAACTTACTATGTGATGCGCACAGCATACAAGTATAGACTCAATCACGCGAATTGGAACAAAACAACTCATGTTTGTTTTCGAAAATGCTACTCGTAAGTAGGCTAAAGCGTGGATTTGTCACCCTCAAGTGGGCTTTAGAAAACATGATTTTGCCACCTCGTAAAATGGGCTTAAAACTTACAATCATCGAATTGTCCTAATTCAGGCAATCAAGCCTTCACTCACAGGCATTCAAGCAGTTAATCACTTAAGCAAATAGCCTCATAGCAAGCATGCTATCATGGCAACACTCACACTCACGCAAGTATTCTAAAGCGTAACACTTACAGTGTACTCCAAGACAAAACAAAAAGCTAGTTAGAAATCAATGCATGATCATAACTAAGTTAAAATGCCTAATGCAACACATGCAAAATGCAACTAAATAGGCCTGGCTATCTAAGATGGCATATGAAGCAACAATCACGTATTCAAAGAGGTATTGAAATACGATGCAGTTTGTATGATGCACCGAGCCCGGTGCATGCAGAACAAATGAATGATGCACACATACAAGCATAAGGTATGTTAATTAAAAATGTCCTAAAACTAACCATTGAAAGCGGCTAAGTAAAAAGGAGAAAGGCGTGGGGTTGGAAGACATGCACACGCACACTTATTACAACAATGCGCCCTCTCGAATGAGGGTCCGAATAAATAAGCTAACTAGCTACGCTAAGCTAATTAATTATTACAAACCCAAATCAAAACCAATAGCTATGCTAAGCTAATTAAAATATTACAAAACAAATTGAATGATTAATTACACAAACTAATCATAAGCAGTGAAATGGCCTCGCAGGCGAGAGAGACATGCATGCTCCTTTGGCGTCATCCCGGAAATCCATTGCTTTGCCGTCAATTGCCTCTGTTTGCACTCACCTTGGTTTCTAAACATTGAACCAACCTCCACACTGCTTCAGCTCCAAAACAGGACCATTTCTGCACAAAAATGGACTGGTGGCCGGTCGGCCACAAAAAGTGGTTGCTGGCCACCTCAACTGGCCGACCGGCTAGTGAAAGTGATCGGTAGGCTACCTCAAGTGGCCGGTCGGCCACCTGCTTCTCCAGACTTTTGGTTTTGCTACAACAGAGAACAACAGAGGCACAACAATGTATTTGCAAAAAAATATATGCACTGCCACTCTCCTCATCATGTCTCAAGCTCAAAGGAGTGTGGCACTTGGCTCTCAAGCCACCAACCAAGTATTTTCAATGCATGATGGCCCAAAAACCAAGTTGGTACAAACTTAGTAAATGCACAAACAATACACAAAGAGCCTCCACCCTATCATGCATGATTAAGGGTGTTGCCGACCAAGAAATGTGACACGTTTCATCGCTATGAGTATGAAACATCTTACATTATTATGTTTGGATTAACGTCCGATCCAAATTCATACAATGCAAACAACATGCTTATCTTGCACAAGTTTTACTTGGTCCATTTCTTGTTTACTCATTTTACATTACCAAACCATTCCTTAATTGATTTGGTCCAATGTGAAAAGTCCTCTAATGGGAGAGGGGTTAACCAAAACAAAGGTTTAAGGCATGAGAGAGATCATGCCTTTGGCTAGGAGAAACCCTCATAAGAGGGTTAAAGCCATTTAAGCATAAACTCTATCAAGTTTAAACACAAACACAAGGTAAACCAACCCTCAAAAAACAAATCAAAAGTGAAGAAATGTGGGAGGTGGCAGAATTTCAGTGCTAAGGTGGCATGAAAAACAACACTCTAACATGCAAACAACTCATATACAACATGTTAAGGGACTTAAGCATTAAAACTAGTGAAGGACACAACACTAAAGGCATGCAATACAATGCTCAAATGACCAAACCTGCCCAAAACAGAGCTTAAACATGGCAAAACAATGGCTAAATCATGCTGAAATTAAGGCATAGAAAGCAAGAAAATCATGCATACATGTTGGCTCGCAAGCAAGACACAAAGCACAACTCTTAGAAGCAATGAAAGAGTGATATATGTGAGAGTATGACAGTGGTATATGCACTGAAATTACATGCTAAATGATGTTATGGCATGCAAACAACCCAAGCAAAGCATGTTGGAAGCCTTAAATCACAAAACTAGTGAAGACATTTGCACTATAGCTATACAAAGCATGAGCCATATGATCAAAGCAGCCCAAAACAGAGCTAAATTAGGCCAAATCAGTAGCTAAAATGTGCTGGAGTCAAGCTAACAGAAGCTAGAATAATAGGCTAACTCATTAGACATGCTAAGCTAGTAAGCAAGATTACACTACAAGTGCAAGATGCAAACAACAAGTGGCCAAACCAGCCAAGAACAGTGTTAAAACATGTTGAAACAGAGCCTAAAACATACTTGATCTAAGCTAACACAAGCCACAAAAACATGTTACACTACTAAAAAAATTACTTTTTGCGACCGCTATAAACCGTCGCAAATAATAAAAAAACAGTCGCAAAAGACCTTTTGCGACGGCCCATGCGACGGCAAATGGGGGTCGCGAATGTGGGGGTGGCAAATACTTTTTGCGACGGCAAAGCAACGGTCGCAAATTATTCGCGACCCCCTAAACTACTTATGGCGACCACTATTTTTCCGTCGCAAAAAACAAAGAAAAACACTAACATGTGGCCATCGAAAAAAAAAAAAAAAAAAAAAAAAAAAAAAAAAAAAAAAAAAAAAGTTAAGCAGTCTAAGAGTAGTAATGACAAGAATTTAGATGGTATAGCATTGTAGTTTAATCAAGCATTCCATTTGAATCTCAAAATTGGAGGCATATGTGAGTTATTACAACTAAAAACTTGCGAAAAGTTCTTTTATGAAAAAAATACAATCCATTGGAAAACAGCTCTTTGTTGATGTTAGGGTGCGTCTTGAAGAGGACACCTGGATTGCCTCCAGTCTCAACCTGAAAGTAAGGCAAGATGTTAAAGCATGCCATTAGATAAAGCATCAGAATTTAAATCTACAAACTCAACTCATGGAGAAAAAAGTATGCACTTCTAAAGATACCACAAAAATTAGCTTTAAAAGGTCATTAATCTTTTAACAGCAGAAATAGGCACGGAACAAGGTGGCGATGAAAGTGGAGAACCCCCATGCGAAAACCATCAGAAATTGCCATTATCTAAATCCTCATCAACCAAATCAGCATAACTTTCACATATCAAGGCTACTCATTAGACAGATACAAAAGGTGTTTGAATTTAACAGGACTGTTCACAATTTCATAACCATAACATCTAAGAGATCTCAATCCTAGAAAACTTCATGCAAGTCATTCAAAAATTTCCTCTAAGTGCACAGTATCATGTGAATAAAAGAAAATGACAGAAGAGAACCTGGCATGCCTCTGACAGAGTTGAGAATCCTTCTTCAAAACAAAGCTGAAAGCCAAAATTTTAACATAAAAGACATGTATTATAAGGTTCAGCTGAAAAGCATAGTAAAATGAATTTGGAACCTGTACTCGTCACTAACACCATATGAAAAGACTATATCCTGAAACTCTTCAAGCACTGCCACTGCACATGAATTCATAAGGTTTAAAGCTTGGCCATCGTTTGGTTTCTCAAATTCATGACCTTCAGAAAATCACTGACACACACTCATCTGCAACATTTTTCATTATGTAAGATGTTTCCAATGAAACTGAGGAAAGACAGATTTATAGATCCAGCATGCCTTCTTAGTTTTAGAATCAAACATCCTTTCCAACATCACCACATCATGTTAGGCCATGAAAATTAGATTGGGACTTTAAACAGTAATTCTATGGTCCCAGAACTTCTTTCCCAGAAATCTCCTAGAATCCAATTACCATGTGCAATATCAACTACAGCATAAAATTGGGTATGATCACTTGGTTGCAAGAAAAAGAAAACCAATAAATGAGCAGAATATATATATATATATATATGGGTGGGAGGATAGTTCAGAAAGCAGGCACAAAAAGAGAAGCGCACCCAAGTAACAAGACTCTGTTGTCCACGAGGCATAGTGTGATCAACAGGCTTGCGGCCTGTTATAAGCTCTAGCAGAACCACCCCGAAGCTATACACGTCACTCTTCTGTGTCAATTGTCCAGTCATTGCATATCTGCACCACGAGATTGTCACCAAATTAATAAAAAATTGTATTTATTTTATTAAAGAGAACTCTGTTATACATATGACAGACTTCAACCTGGCACAAAGACCAATAATACTCTGTTTTGGCATCATTTTGGTCATGATTAATACCAGTGTAAGGAGAGGAGATAAGGGGTTTAAAACATGGAAGCCATCCCTTTTCTTGCATTTTAGTTCTTACCTTAAGCTTCATTTTTAAATTAAAATTTCTTGTACTCTTAAGAACTAACCCAAATAATATTAAGGGCACTTGGGCCAAAGGTCTAATTCTGAAACTTTTGGGGCCATAAGAACAAAAACAATATGAAAGACCATATTACCCATACCTATCTGTCCACCACCGCTGCTGCTGCGCAGCGGTGGTCGACGGTGGTGTTTGAGAATGGAGAGAAACTACAAATAGAAAAAGTGCAAGGCTTAAACTGTCACAAATGTCCTTTTCACCCAACAAGAACAAAAAAAACTTGTCCTCTTGACCACAAAAGATCCGACCATGTCCTTAATGCCCCACCATGTGCTCCCCTCTTTGGATTTATCACCAATTTTTCCTAATATTAATCCTTTAAGTCACCAACTTTGGTTAGAAACACAAACAATTTGAATTCCCCATTCAAGGGATCAAACCTCCTCTACCCCAAATGCATAATAGGGTTAAGTGCGTCCCTAATAGCCAGTCCGATTTGGCAAACCAATTCAAATTCCAAGTAACCCCGTAAAGGGAGAGTTTAAATTAGAAGCAAAACAATATGCATCAAGAGTTTTACTTCCCAAAAAAGGTATTAGATTTGTGGGTTTGCAGCCAGGTTCTTCTCACTCTATCCTCTTTCTTCTCTGACTTGCTTATGAGCCCCGTTTTTCCATTTTTGCCAGGAACTGTGATGAAAACATGATGTGGTTGGAAATCCACAAGATAGAAGATGCCCCTTTTGGAGGTGCAATGACTTCAACCTTTTATTAGTTCCCAACAACGTTAGTAACACTGACATGCTTGTTTAATACTCTGTACCCTGAAAGAGGGAAAATTAAATTGTATTCATGAGGAAAGCTTTGAAACAATTTGATGATGGTCACCATTTCTGAAACTTGAGAGAGGGAACGTTTACTTTTGATGATTAGTATGGTTTGTCATAAATGATAAAGTGACGTGTATAGTTTGTCTAAAATTTTATCACCGACATATACCCTGATCATTATTTGTTTAATTCGGTGTATGTAAACTTATTGGAAGAATTTAGGAGAACTAGTTAATATATTTCATGTGGTTTCTAAACATTTGAAAATATGATTTGTTTTGCATTGGTTTTTTTAGTTTTTTTAGTCTATTTTGTTTTTTTGTGAATAAAAAATGTAGGAGGTGATGTAACTCAAAATGAGTAAAAAGTTAAAAATTGGCTTTTTTTTTTGCTTCCCAAAAGACCCCTTAGTTGGTTTTAGTATTTTCTTAATAATAATTTTCAAATAGGGAATCAATCATGTTTATCGCGTAGGAGATGATACAAATGTAGTGACTGACATTTTCACATGCACAGTTCTTTTGGTCAACTTGGGAGGAAATTTAGACCTTTTGAATTTATTGTTGGTAAGTTGATTTTCAAATCAAAGATAGTCAAATCGAATCAAATAGTTTATGTTAGGAAGTTGATTTTTGAATCAGATGGTTTTGTTCTGAAGTTGATTTCCGAACAAAAGATTGTGTGTTGGAGAAAATGATGCGGAAATATAAGCTAAGCTCCCGATTGATGAGCTTCATGAGAATTCAATTTGGAAGTTAAGTGAGGTTTTTCTGCTTATGAAAGGGATCAGCTAGGAAGCACTCTCAAAAGTTAATCCAAATCGTACTTCTGTTTTCTTGACTTAATTAATGCTGTTTAGTATCATTGGAACTTGAAAATAAAATAAAATTTACACATAAGAAAAGATCACCAAGTGTATGCTAGACAATAGATATTATGTTAATTTTTTTAATGATACTAAAATAAGCAATTATTAAGTCGGGAATTTTGATTATTTTGTTTGTTTGTTTTTTTTATGTTTAAATACAATCACAGCTGCACAATCATATGTATATAAAAATCAAGAGGATCACTTTGCTGTAAGACATGCTCGGTGCAAGTGTTCTTTGTGTTTATTGCAAATGCAATATGTGATTGGGTGTGAGTGCAATAGATGCACAGAATAAGTGACAAGTGTGCACAATTCTGCACAATTTCCATTTGCATCAGGCAGTTCAAATTTGCACTTGTGTATATATTGCACTTGCGCCGAGCATGTGTTGTTGAGCAATGGAATGGGGAAGGGAAGAAGGTCGCAACAGAGGGTCTAAAGGGATTTGAGCGGTTTTGGTGGCTAGGGTTTTCATCAACTAATTTTTTTTTAATTAAATAATTTTGCAATTATAAAGTGATAAATGATATGAAGTGATTTAAGAACACCAATTAATCACTCCATGTCATGTGTGCATGCAATCAATAGATGAAGTCAAAAACATTGAAGAGGCCATCAAAATCACATTAAATGGTTTGTTTTAGTTTCTTCGGAATTGGGGTCACTGTTGTGCCTCAATTTGATGTACATTATGAGGTCACTGTTGTGCCTCAATTTGATGTACATTATGAGCTTATTTCTATGATTCGAACTGTCATTTTGTAGGGTTTGTTAAGTACTTGATGCCTACCAAAAATCATATTAATCGGATATCAATAACTATATGATCGGTAATAAAAAAAAAAAAGTTTTTCTTTTGAAAAATAGCATAAAAAATATACAATTCGATCATATAGTTATTGATATCCGATTAATATGATTTTTGGTAGGTACGAAGTACTCAACAAACCCTACAAAATGAACGGTTCGGATTATAAAAATAAGCCCCATAATACACTTCAAATTGAGGCATAACAGTCACTACTGTGCTAAAGAGCACAGCAGTGACCCTTAATCCTTCACAAGTACATATCCACACCCGTAAATAGATGGGATAGGCTCCCCTCAATATTTTCATCTCTTTATTTTTTTTCCTCATAATTCTCTTATAGACCTTAATTCAGATCTGCACCGATAATCTGAACCACTTATATTATAAGTTTCATAATAAAATTATTTATGCAAAAAATGAGTTTCATCGAAAATGCTATGAAGTTACTGATATTGCTTGATTTCCAGTTCAATATTCAACTCGAAGGAACAACAAATCAATCAAAAATCAAACTCGTAATCTTTTTTTTGGAAGATAAAATTGAAATGAAAAAAAAGGAACCTGAGTGAGTTGGGAGACGAAAGAGTCGTGACTGTGAACATCAGAAGCGAAGGAGCAATGATCGATGCTACTAGAAGCGGAAAACAAGAGGCTGAAGTTGGATGCGACGGTGAAGATGACGAAATCGAATGATCTCTACTGGTTGTGATCATCAAACCTTAGTAGCTCCGGCATTGTTGTCTGCTGCTTCTCATCACAATCTTATAGAGAGAGAGAGAGAGAGAGAGAGAGAGAGATGTGTTTGTGAATCGTCGGGAAAGTGAAAGTGAAAAGGGGGTTAGGGCATAGGTATAATAAGAAAGGGGCAAAATAAATAAAAGAAAGGCTCAGGTGTTGTTGTAAATATTATTTTTTGCGACCGTTTAATAGTCAGTCGCAAAAAATTAGTCGCAACAAGTCACTTTTCTAGTAGTGTTACTTTGTAATGCTAACTAGGCATGGCATAGAGAAGCAAGAAGGGGAGGCCACCCCCTCCTATTTTGGACTTCAAAACACACTTTTTACCACTGAAATAACTCTAAATTTTAGTGGTTTAAAGGCCCAAAAGGTTTGACTTTTACATGTTAAGAGATGATGCAAAGGCACATACAAATAGGCAACAAGAAGGGGGAGACAACCCCTTAGCACAAAATGGCTTTAAACCAACATTCTTAGGACTGAAAAATAGAGTTTTTTACAGTTGAAAACCAGCCCAAAAACTGTTTGAAAAGATGGCAAAACAAGTGTTCAAAGTAAGCTTAAAGAAGGTAAGTATTATACCTTTGAAGCAAAGAGCACTCTAGGCACGAATGATGCACCAAATCAAGCTAAAACCACCTTTTGGAGCTCAAAAAAAGTCTCAAGGAATCTCAGCCCAAAGACAAGAAATTTTGGTTAAGGATGTCTTGGAAAACTAGTTGTGTATCTCTACTTCTATGCACAAAAGGACAAGAGAGAGAGAGAGAGAAAGAAATCTAGAGAGAGAGGGAGGATTTTGCTCACAAATTTTCTAGAGAGAGGGAGGATTTTTAAAGAGAGAGGCTCCCAAATTACTAACCTTTCAATATATGAGATATAGCCTCCATATATAGCAAAAAGAGAGCATTTGGTCGAAATATCTGATTACAGGACAGGTAGAGCTTGTGTAGAACAGCTCGAGGAAAAAGATCTGCAAATTTTGAGCTTTTTGGACATTTGTGGCTGACCGGCCACTTGTGGTGGCCGACCGGCTACTTTTCTGGCCAACAAGAATCCCTTCTGGCCGGTATATGGCCGGCAAGCTCCATTTGTGGCCGGCACACTCCCACAGAAGCCGACAGCAAAAACTAGTCCCTGTCCCCGACTTCCACCAGGCATAACTCCTTTATCTGGACTCCTTTTCAGGTCATTCCTCAGCCTAAACTGAAGCCCCAGAAGTAATATTTCCAATGGTGGAAGCCTCACATCAAAATTTCATGTGTGCTAAGAGATATCTCTCTTTTAGTGAACACTACTCAGTTTCGATCCAACCAGATCAATGCCCAACTTCAACCAATCATATCTCCCTCATCTAGCCTCGGCTTGAAAAGATTCTTGAGTGCAAAATGAAGCCCCAGAAGTCTTATTTCCAACGGTGATGGCCTCATATTTGAAATCCAAGTGTACAAATGGATAGGCCCAATTTAGCAAGGGCTGCTCGACTCTCTCTTAACGGTTCATGCCCATCTTCTTCTCCAACTTGGTTTCTTCCCTTTCCTCTTCTTTTATTCAACTCCAAACCTCTAAACAATATGTTTTAAATATTTTTTCAATGATCTCGCCTCTCTTTCATTCATTTCCACTTTGTCCTTGCTCATTTACCGAAAAGTGCAACATTTAACAAAATGCGAGCGTTGGAACATCATACGAACTTTGTTTCAAAAAAATATTTTGAAAGAGAGGGTTTTAAGGTCTAAAATATTTTGGTCCAAAAATGGGGGTAAGGTTTGGATTTGACACTCTCATTGCCAAAGAAATCGAACCTTTATATAGCATAGCCTACACCATCAAGTAAGCAATCGGTAGTGCCCAAGTCTTAAGGGCGGTCAAAAATGAGGTGTCTACAGTAGGTGACCGATGAAAAATTAAGTGAGGTTTCCAACCTTTATACATCTAGAATTTATCACATAATATCAACATTATGACATTCTCACTCACCCTTTTATTCATTTCAAGAAAAATCCCTTGATTTCCCCCATTATTCCTAAAACCCCCAAGCTTCTAGGTTTTTCACCAAAAGCCCTAACCTTTCCTCATCTCATTTCAAAAACCCCTCTGAACACAACAATCTTAACCTCATGATTCTAAATTTAATTTAGAACTTACAAAAGACAAGGATTGATTTCTCCTACAAAACTATCCATTTCTTGAAACAAAAATCCATTTTCGAAATACCAAAGGAGAGCTCACAAATCAATCACAAACTTACATAAACATATACATAACTCAAGGAAATCCCCCACCACAATGTTTGATGAAGAAATGGAGATGAAACCCTAGCTTTAATGGAAGATTC